GCTTGTTGTTCATCATAGCATCACCTGAACCTAAAATATAAAATAATATTTATATAATCTCTTTCCATTTGACTTTACTTGCAGCTGTATCTCTATATTTATGGTCACTATTACACCACAAATATCTATAAGGTCTTATATTTTCCATCAATTGAAATTCGTTCGCCATTTTTATTCACGCAATTTGCAAAAGTTTAATGATAAAAAGATTAAAGTTTTACGAATCGTAAAATTTTTAAGAATCACATAATTTGCCCAAAATCGAAAAAATCATTTAGGCCATCATTTTAATTTTCCATTAAAAATGACTTATATTATATTTTTCGCTAGATTCGCGCAAATTGCGCGATACAATTTTTGATATTTAGGACACAGCCTAAAATATATAATCATTTACATGTAAATTAAATTTTATAGCAAAGTTTAAACACTCGTCTTTAATTTGGGAAAGTTTTATGAGTATTTATAAACCATGCACCTCAATTATGGCAGATAATGGAGAAAATTTCAAAATCTTGAAAAGCAATTTTATGGCTGTTTTTATTGGTATTTAGGATTTATGCTAAGAAATCACAATTTCTCCTTAAGATCCTTATTTTTTTTATGCCCAAAAAGTTTATTAAATTAATCAAAATTAAGTTTCAATTTTTATATATAATTATTAATTTATATGTATTATGATATTTTTGAACAATAAAATTATTCTATACGTATCATTATTAATAAATAAAAATTCATTTCAATTTATTATGGCCCTAAAAACATTAATGGTTTAGGAAGCCCCTTGAAATGGTTTGCCTCACCCCGCTATTGGGGCTTGCTGGACAAAATTTCCACTTTTACAAAAAATAAAAATTTTTTAAAATGGTTAAACTCTTATAAAACTTTATAAGGCATCTTTATAGAGTATAGTTTTTGGTATCTAATATATTATTTTTTGTATTATCTAAAAAAACCAGTATAGCCAATTTTGTAAAAATCGGTTCAACTAACCCCAGTCTCCCCTACAACATTTTTTTTTATCTAAATACTTTAAAACAATTCTGAAAAATTTTGACTATTAACCTGGGAGATATCATTCATATTTTTTATAGAACTTAAGATATTAGTGCTATATTTATTGATTACAATACTTATTTACCAATCCCTTATAGCCCTTGTCGAATGAATGCTTTAAATTGATAATCTTTGATTTTTATTAAATCAGACAATAAAATATTAATAAATTAGTTTTCGTTTCTTTACTACTGTTTTTTTATTTTCGACTTAACTGAAAAATGAATCAATAAAATTTTTTATCGCATTTTTCTATTTTCATTTATTCTTATTTTTAATTATGTAACGAAGAACTTTTTGTAACGGTTACATGTTCTAAATTAAGGTAACATAAGCCATAGTTTTTTTATGTGACTATGCTAACTTAGTTGTTATATTTTATAATCGTTAACTTTTATTTAGTAACGTGCCCAACTCTGGTTGTGTGCATATTTTAGCATCAAAGAGTCTCATAGAATCATATTAAGCATTGAATATTTTCATTAACCTGATTATTAAATCTTTGTAAATACGGGCTAATAAAGACAATTCATGTCGTAATTTGTCACTGAATACATTTTCTAATTGTGAAACTCTCTTAAGGGTCAGAAATACCTTAGATATTTATTTCATCAAAATTCTTCGGATACAAATATTGCACATTCTCTCACCAAAAATCTTATGATTGTTAAATTAAACTATTTATAATTTGATCAATTGTAAGGAAGAAATGCTTTAAAAATATAGAAATAATTCGGACTTTCATCTTTGCATTTATCACTATACATACTCTTTGTTAGACTTATTCGGGTTTTTAGCATTTCATTTTGTATTCAAATATTATCTGGCAATTTTAAATCAGGAATATTTTTATTTAAATATGTAGCTATTTTTAGCTTCATTTTGAATGGAGGTAAACGTTATAAAATACAGACTTGGCATCTTCATTCATTTCCCAAGTTGATAAATCTCTAAATTTTTAGTTTGAAGATATAATGAGAGCCGCCCCATTATTTTAAAAAAATTATAAAGGATTTAACATTTAAATTGCTCAGATTCTCAATTAAAGATTTAGCCAATGATAAGGTTGGATTTTGCCTTATAAAGATCGGGTGTAAGACTTTATCATATAACTTACTATCTAAGGTCTTTTTCACGTGCCCACCATCTGTTTTACCTATTTTCGCCAAGATCAGCTGCTTTCTTGTACTATATATTTGCAAACTAATAGTTTGCTACCTATCTCCCTTTTATAATATTAAATTCCAAATTTTAACTAAAACAGCATTAATAATTTATTAATTTGCCTTAACATAAAATTATTAGAGAATTTCTTCCCTTGAATTTTTTATTTATCAGGAAGTTTCAGCTTTCCTTTTCTACTTTTGCTCCTGAAAAAAGCCTTTTCTAAATGATGTCTAAGTATTTTATCCTTTTTGATATGATTTTTACCATCTCAAGGAAATTCCCTTGTTTTAAATTTTCAATTTCAAATTTGATAAGTGTTTCATTATGGTTTGTTCCTCTGTAGGGTTTGTTTGCTTAACTGTATTATCTCAAATATGCATAATGTTACATGGATATTATTGCATTCATTATTTTAAAGCTAATTGAAATCTATTTAAATAATAAATTATAAAAATAAATCATAAAAATATAAATCAAACAAATTTGACTTTCATTTAAACTAACATTCATTTCTCTCTTGAAAAAAAACCCATAAAATAGCAATATCTAAATGATAATCCTCAAAAAATGTATTAATATGATCTAAATGCTAAAAAAGGAAATATTACTTTTATATAAAATATTATCATAAGAGGAAAGTCATAACTTATATGTATTTTTTTCTGATAAACCTCTTTTTTTCATTTTTTTTACTGATCGACCTCAAAAATCGACATTCTCGCGGCCTCTTGGGCAAAATGCCCACTTAGTTTTATGGCCAGTCTGTAAAAAGCCATTCTTTTGCGTCTTCTTTTACGATTATTTTTTTTCTTTAACACTTCATAGCATAGGTAGGACTAGGCAAACCACAATCATTTACTCAAAATTCTTTCTATATTTTTGTCTAGATCTTTTAGTAGTTTAATATTTTTAGGTAATATGCAAAATTATTTTTCATTTTATTAGGTAGTTCATGAGTTATAATGGTTTTTTGGAGCTTGAGGTCTGCATAGACCCCACCTGGTCATCTGTTTTAGCATCGATATACCAAGCATATAAACACTTTTACACATCAATCAATTTTATCTATATATTTTTTTTATATCATAGTGATATTTAAAATATGTAACTTTTTTGACTCTTTTGGCAATATCTGTCTAAAATCTTAAAATAACAGTAAAGTCACTTTTATTAGAGTTTATTTAATATATGTTTTAAATCTGAAAGCGTTACAAATAAATTTAATTCGGAGATATAGCATATCTAAATTCCGAAGGAATTCCATCTATAATTTTATGTTATTTTTTTTACCTGTGCTACGAAGGATTGATTTCTCTACGCTTAGATTAAATAAATCGTCGAATTTTTCTTTATAATTTATTCTCAATTTCATTAGTTTCCCATATTCTTGCTTTATCAATTATATGTTTTAAAATATTGAAATATTTTTTTTTAATATTATCTCTAAAATTTTTCCCACAAAAATTATCACGTTTTTTATTTTTAAAATTATCACATTTATTTTAGAATTTTTATAAGTTTTAAAATAATATTTGTCTTGTAAACGTATGTGCAGTAATAAACTCAACGTTTTAATATTTAACAACGATACAGCCTCTCCAGTTTACTAAATGTACAATATTAATAAATTTTATTTCAAATTTGTTTATAACATGTTATACTCTCATTTTTTTGTCTTCCACCCCCTTCCTTTTTTCCTATTTTATACCCATTTCCCTGCAACCGACACAGTGGATAAATGTCATTTTAAATCTTTAAATCCACATTTATAGCAAGCTAAGAATTTTATTTTACATATCGCTTTCACGTGATTTTCTCCCACAGTACTTACACCTTCATCCTTTAAAAATGACCGTTTTCATTTGATTTATATTTTCTATTTTGCAACTTTCCATGTTAGGTTTTCGGTATATAATTATTTAATAACGAAATTATTAACCCTGTTATAAATGTATCTAGTTACACAGTATTTATTTGTTCTCCAAATTGGAAATATTTTTATTATGATTTTAGCCGAACTCTGATTTGTTTTAACTTAATATTTTTTTAAGGATGCCAATTATTTCTTGAAATTTTTGAGAATGTGTCAAATTATATATAATATTATATGCTTCCGAACCAATGTTTGCTAATAATGTTTATTTTTTAAAAAATTTTCTTCAGTAATATTCATATTTTTAACTTCCTATTTTGAATCTTATCACTGTATCATTAACTACACCATATTTTATTTAAACTTAATAACTAAAAACAGTTCTGATATTATAAAACAAAAGTTACCCTGCCCAGACCTTTATTTAAATGTTTCTCTGGCCCTGCTTAGCTTGATACTTTTTTTTTACTAATTTCCCTGCCCGACTCATTTTTACTAAAATGAGGCTCGATTCGCCCGTTATAAAATTACGATAAATAAGGCCCAGCTTAAATTTTATGGAAACTCGGCCTAGATAGCCATATAAGAAAGATATAAGAGCCTTAATTAACATTGGGGAAAAAATATATGTAGATAATAAAAATGTGATGGCTGAAAAATTTTTTTCAAATAAATTAACCTATCGGGGCGGCCTTTTCGTAAAATTTTAACGGGCCTGCAAATTTTTTAAAAAATATAATGGGCCGGGCTGGGTAAAATATTTAATAGACCGGACAACTTTTGCAATTTTTTTATCGGCACAGGCTTTGCTGATCTCTTATAGTGAGTAAGAAAAGTGATGTGGCGAAAGAGACATAAATTGTTATTTGATATTTAATTAAACAATATTTTTAACATTGAATAGTTGAAAATGTGGAAATGATGCATAATATGAAGACTCTTATTGAAGAAATGTATAATAGTAATGGTAAATTGCCTGTCGTTATAATATGTCATAGTATGGGATGCTCTTATACAAAGTATTTTTTGCAAACTCAAAGTTTAATATGGAAAAAAACTTTTTTGAAAGCTTGGGTAACACTCTCTGCTCCGTGGGCTGGGACTGTAAAGGCCTTAAAAATTTACGCATCAGGTAGATTCATCTCCAATACTATTTTTTAATTATATTACAATTATTTTTAAAATTAGGTGATAATTTAGACGCGTATCCATTGAATGCTTTAAAAATAAGAGACTGCCAGAGAACATTTCCTAGCTTATCCTGGCTGTTACCTCATGTTGGATATTGGCAGCCGAATCAAACTTTAATATCCACCCCACTAAAAAACTATTCTCTGGATAATATAGAAACCTTTTTCTTTGACTTGGGACTACCTAATGGTTTTATTTAATTTATACAACACTAATTTTAACTAAATCTAAATTTAAAATGATGCATAAGATTATGTAGCAAATTTATCAGTTGGTTTTAAAATTCAAATAGCATATATACATTACTTTTCTATTCTATTTATTTTTATAATGTTACATTAAAAACAATTATTTGTTGAAGCCAAGAATGGCTTACAAATTTAGGTATATAGGATTTGCTTAACTTTAATTTTTCACTAGAATTTTTAACTTTGTTATGAAATCGTTGAATTTAAGGATATCTCTAATTTTTATCTTAAACTCCATTAATATTAAATTTTGTTTTTGATTATCTTTTATCGATTCTCTTATGCTAAATATCATCCTTTGAGTTTGGGGATGCATAATGCTTCACGTAATCAATTATCTTTTCAAAAATATCTTGTCTGACTTTTTAGATGATATGGATTTGAGTAATATCATTGTTTTTTTAATACAAAATCACGAAATAATAAAATATTTTTTAATATAGCTTATGAAATGTGGTTTGATAATAAAAACTTGATGGACTTGATGGATTATAATGGCTCACATCATCATAATTCTGATAAAAGTATAGGAGTCATGTTACATTGCCTACATGGTATATCTGTACCTACCCCAGAACTACTAAAATGGAACAAACCTCAAGATTTTCCTGATAAACAACCTTTAATTTTACAGGGCGATGGTGATGGGTCGGTTAATTTAAGAAGCCTTTCTGCTTGCTTAAATTTTTACGGATCTAGACATGGTATACATAATTTTTTTGTAAAATAAATTTTAAGGTATATATTATGTATTTAAAGTAATATATACTTAATTCTAATCTTAATCCAAATGGCGTTAGCGTTTATCTATTCTTCATATTTATTAACCATTTTAGATTTTGTAATTATATCACTAAAATAAGTCATATTCTACGATAAAATCAAAAAAGACCTTAGAATATAAACCCCCAGAAAATATTTCGTTAACCCCCCCCCCTCCCTCCCCAATTAAAAAACTTATCGAATACTCATTAAAAAAACTTCAAGAAGGTCAGAAAAAACTTACGAAAATTATGAATACTTTTATACGTAAAACAAATCACACGGATTTCATACTTAAATGTTCTCATTTTAAAAGACCATTTTATTTATCATTAGAGCCGGAACTGGTGTGGTTATGGCAATATTTAATATTTATTTAATATTACCGATATTAGTACAGGATAAGAAATCACAGAGAACTTAGGTTTAGTGGTTTTAGAGGTAGATAAACAGGATATACTTAAGCCTTAGCCATTACACAAATAAAATTACGGATATGTATTTTAGGTTTGAATGATTACTTATAGAAGTTGAAGAAGACAAATTTGTTTTGTGAGAACAAATTTTGCCCTCACACTGTACGTTCCTTTTATATCTTTTAGAACCTGTAAATGTTTGTCATCCACAGCTTAAGACAATGGAAATGCAACCCCTGCTAATCTCTTGTTGACATCTGATATAATAGCTGAAATGAGAACCCAAACCCTCGATATTTCGCTGAACCCAAATCCGAACCCTTTTTTAAAATTTAGGGTACAGGGTTCAAGCTTTAAAAAAATTTTATTTTAAACTTTCATTTTATTTATTTTAAATTATGTTAAAAATAATATAATATAAAGAACATTATGGCAATACTAATTAAAATAAATTTTAAAAAAAATGATGTTTCTGTTATTTTAACTAATTTTAATAAGTCATTATATTTCTGGTCTCCGAACCCTGAATCCGAACTGGGTTCAGATATTTTTCACTGAATCCAAACCCGAACCCATTTTTTTAGAAGGAGGGTTATATCCCTGGAAATGAGATGGCAAATAAATCTTGTTTTAAAAACTTTTTTATTTAAACATATTTTAATATAATTTTACTAATTTCATATCAAAATTCTCATTTTTTAAGTAATAATATAATAATTATCAAAGAATATCCAGCCAAAATTTATTATATGATATTATGATAATTTCATGATTGAGTTTATATGAATAATGTTGAAGTTTCTCAACGATCGGGTAAATATGAATTTGATTGCCATAAAGATAATAAAAATCATGATATGGAGATAAAGAAAATTCTATATTCTGATGCTCAATAAAAATTGATATGCTTATTTTTATTATACAGTCCATTCCATTCCCCTTGGTTTATAAATATCTTTATATTTATTTATGGATTAATTGATCGATCATATAAATATAAGATAGCGATATCTTCTGCCATATCTAGTTTCCCTCGTTGAAATCCTCGCAGATGTAATTCGTTGCCCTAATTAAAAGAGACAAAGGTAAAACGACGTTAATCTCGCAATTATGGGTAAGAATGTTAAGTTACTAGGTAATGCTGACATAAATTTGGCCAGTTTAATCAACTCAACGCCTTCTAGAGCATCGCCATTGATGGCGTTAGAGGATCAATGTAAGAAAAATCCTAGGTTATGATTCGCCTTTTTCCAAGGGTTCAATGTAGATCTATCTGGCCGTTTGCCATCGGGCCATAGTCCACTGGGCTCAATGGTTGATAAAATACCGGCAGATTTTAAGGCTCTGACTATAGTGTTATTGGACCTTGAGTGTCCGAGGAATTAATCTCGGCACGATTGGCCTATAGCGTGACTAACATAACTCATATTTGCTTAACATCTGGTCAAAATATTTACATGTGAAGGCTTCGAGAAATTCGTAATTCCTTGCGGAGGTGGAGAAAAAGAGTAGTGAATGGTTCTGGGGTTGGTTTTTCTATTTCGTTTCCTAAAAGCATTTATTTAAACAGTAGATTACAATCCATTTAATTTGGATAAACATATATGGTGTGAAAACCTAAGAATATACTTACTTGAATGAATCAGTAACAATTGACGATAAAATTTGTATTATCTGCTATATAAAATTACATGCTCCAACCAGTATCATATTTCCTTCAACATTAATATTTCATGAGGAATATATTAATGATGCTGCTTTGGAACTTATTCATTACCATTAATGGTCCAGACACCAATTAAGAAGAAACGCTTAAACTAATAAAGATATCCTATTCAAAAAAATTGAAAATTCAGTAAAAAATTAATAAAATGTTTTGAAAACATGAATGTAAAATCTTTTTTTTTTATTAAGCATTTGAAAAATAAATTTTAACACATTCTCAGAAATTGACGGTTTTATCTTCTTGGACCCTAAAATCTAAAAGAATTTTCCACGAGTGAATTCAGGGCAAGAATGTGTCTATCCAATCCATATATTATAAAACCTGTGTTTTTTAAGATTATATTGTGGTTCCATGTCAATTCATCGAAACTTTTATTGAAATGAAATGAGAATATAAAATGAAAATGGATTTCTTTTATTTGATGTTTTTTAAATAAAATAATGATATGCTACTATTGTAATATTATTTTTGTTATAATTTATTAGTGATTTTCACGACCAAAATTTTAAACAAAAAATATTTTTTGAAGTTCAAAAAAATTTTTGAACATATTTTGATAGATATTTTAAATCTTTTTGTAAGGCTGTGCCGATATTAAATATCGGATCGGTTCGGTACCGATATTTAGCGTTTTCCGAAAATATCGGATCGGACCGATACCTGTAAAAACCCGATCCGATTTTTTTACTTTTCTTTTTTTTGTTATTTTATGTTATGTATATTTATTTTACATTATTATAATATTTTCTAAAAAACATTTTTAAATTTAATTTCTTTTTTTTTAAAATTATTTTTTTATAAAAATAGAAAGGAACACCCAAAGTTTTATTTATTTTAAATCTTTTTAAATAACGCCAATTTTTTTATTTATACTTTAAATAAAAGAATTATTTTAAATATGGTATCTGAATTATGAAAATATTTTACAAAAGACAAAGATAATTTTGCAAAATGCGTTATCTGCGGAATCATCAGAGTCTGCCTTCAGTACGGCAGGAGATATAGATAGTCCATATCGTAGAAGCTTATTCCCAGAAAATCTGGAGGCTCTCATATTTATTAAAAAATTTAATATATTATAATTTTATATATTAAATATTACAATTTTATAATTCATACGAATATAAAATGGATATATTAAATATATTTTTTTTTATTATAGTTTTAATTGTAGAAATAAAAAAATTAAATTAAATTCATAATTCGATTTTTTGCATAAAAAATATTGATTTCTTAATTACATTTGGTTCAAACGGAGGTGATTAAAAATCAGTATAAATATCGGATCGGTGAAAAATATGTGGATCGGCACAGCCCTACTTCTTTGTAAATAAATCTTTTTAGAGGAATTCTTTTGTGAATTTTATTATATACTTATTTTGGCCCATTTACGTCAAAAAAAGTTTAAAAATAATGATTATGATAATTGTCACTTATCTAGGGTACATCTTCACTGAATAAACATGCTAGCAATACTTATTTTAACCCATTTTGGTCAAAAAACTTTAAAATAACGGTTATTACAATTGTCACTTTTCAATGGTACATCTTCATGAAATTTTAATTTAGCATGTTTACAATCTATATTTTTACCCATTTGCAACAAAAAAAATTCACAAAACTTTATAAACAACGATTATGACAACTGTAACTTATATCTATGGTACATCTTCACTGAAATTTTATTTTAACATGTAACATTTTTTATTTTTGCCCATTTACGTCAAAAAAATGTAAAAAACTTTAAAAATAACAATTATGACAATTGTCGCTTTTATATGGTACATCCTAATTGAAGTTTTAATGTAACATGTTAAAAATACATAATTTATATTAGCGTCAAAAAAATCTAATATGTTTAAAAATACCGATTATGATAATTGCCATTTTTCCAAGGAACATCTTCATTGAATTTTATTTAACATCTTTACAATATAAATGATATTTTTAAAAAATAACGAATATGACAATTGTCACATTAAAATATTATCCTTAAAAAATCATATAAAATAAGATAAATAAGTTAAATATAAATATTTAAAAAAGAATTATTTAGAAAACCCACCTCTTTTAGTATACTTAAGAAATAGATAATTTTACAAAAATGATAAAAAAACTATTAAAGATTTCACCTAAAAATTGTTATATTTATAATAAATTTCACAAAAGAATTCTTCCAAAAAGATATATTACAAAGAAGATTTAAAATTTTTTATCAAAATATGTTCAAAAATTGAACTTCAAGAAATATTTTTTACTTAAAATCTTGGGCCTGAAAATCACTAATAAATTGTAACAAAAATAATATTACAATAGTAGCATATCAATTTTTATTAAAAAACATCAAATAATAAATAATATGTTGTTTTCCTTTAAATAGTTATTGTTTCGCGATAATGCGCTCGCGATAATGACTTCGCGCAAACATATTCGCTCTTTTAATAAGAATTTGCTATGATTATAAAATATACTATGTATCAATCTGTATTATCATTAATATTATTAAATATCATATTTAAAAAAAAATTCATATCACAACTCTCTGATGAAAAAGTTTTCTTAATTTATAATTTGATAGATTACTCACACTGATATGTAAATAAAATTTATTATAAAATATACTTTTGGAAAATATTGATTATTTTATCATAAATATTTATAATATTAGCCCTATCTTGTTTTCTTCTATATCTTACTTAAAATATATGGAATTTTTCTACTGATGAGTACTTGTTTTGATGTATTTATTATCATAAATTGTAAAATAATTACATTTTTAAAACAATCATAAATTATTATCTACCTTTTTCTTGATTCTGGCCAAAATGAGTTGCTTAAAAAATATAATATCTTGTTTTCTTATGATTATTTTTTTTCTTTCATTTTTTTTTCTTATTAATTTATAATATATATAACCAATTCCAATAATTATATTTTAAAATGGTAATTTAAATATTTTGTTTGAAAAATAAATTTCCTTGGGTTCTGATATAAGGCCTCTTATTTTACTACCTATATTTTTAAAATATTTTAAAGTTCCGTTGACATATGTCCAAGGGGGAAGAGATTGCAATTGGTAAAAAAAATGTAATTTGTTAATTTCGTATATTTAATTGTTTCTTTTCTCGGGTATATCAACCAGGTCAGAATTTACAGTTTTTGGAAATGAAGAGACGCATGTGAAGTCCCAAATTAAGGATTTACTTAAAGACCAGAAGTTAAAATCTGGCCTTAGGCCATCATTTGATGATAAATTAGCAGGATCCAGGATGCTTTGTAAGATGTCTCTCTTTTCAATACTGATATTTTACATTATGCATGTATGTAGTAGTACTATGTTACATCCAATTCGATGGCCTATGGCAAATCTTGATTGTTCATCTGATAAGAAATTACATAGGTTTTGTTAATGCTTCCAACCATTCATAACCACTAGTACACTCAGCATTTCGCAATAGTCGAATATATTCCAAAGGGGGTTTGATGAGAATATTTAAAAAAAAATTTAAATTAAAGATTCAAGAATTGATTAATGTTTTAAAACTGTGGGTAAAACTGCTACAGGGAGAGCTAAAGATATCCAAGCAGTCAAGCTCAAATTTAAAAGATTATCTTTGTGAGTGAAAGATATCATGGCGTTGTTCATCAAACGTAATGCCAAAAATGAAGAAAAAATATAAGATGGAATGGATATTAATCTAAACCTCCCTTTTTCTAGGATATTTGTTAAAAGCCCTAGTTAAAATTTCCAATTTTATATTTAAAAAATTCATAAAAACAATTATAATAATTTCATTTTTTAAAAAAAAGAAAGAAGATGTAAAAATATGTAAAGTATTTGGTAGAAATAAATATTTTTTAAAAAGAAAAATCTTTGATGTGAAGATATTTCTTTTAAAAATTTTTCAAGTTCTAAGATGGAATAATCTAATTCTCAGGGATGAAATATAGATATGTAGATGATAAAAATTTTTAGAATAATAGCACCTAATTGAGATCGAATATAAAATAATTATTATAATGTTATAAAAAAGGTGTCATAAAAGTGGGTGAACATGATTGATCTTTTACATAATACACTATTATCACTTCTTCATTTGAATCATTTACATGAGATAGTTGATATAATGAAAATACAATATAAGCTCATAATGTAAATCTGTATTTTATATTGGATAGAAATTTTTTTTCCCCTCAATGTAAAAATTCCATTTTAATACTTGGATGGTCTTTTAAAATCCCATAGTGTAAACGGACAAAATGTATCCTCTCTGGCTCTGTTCCTTCTACTCCTCTCTAAACAATCACCACTGCTCACTAATAAACCCAGAGATCCATTCCATTTATATTAACTCCTGAATATAAAGCAACATCAAACATTCCTTAATTTAATATTCCACGATTAAAATTTTTTTTAACATATTATTAGGAATCTACATATTTATTCTGAGTTCAATGATTTATCGTATATTATATTTTAAATTTTTTACACCACAATGCGCATAAAATTAAATTTTTTTATCCTCTATAACTTAAGAAAAATAGATTACATAATTTGAAAACATCAATAATTTTATTCAAATTTTGTTTAAAAACAAATTAAAAAAAACTTTAGATCGCAAACTTAACAAATTTTTATCTGCTAATATAAAAAAATATATTGTTATTTCTAATTTAAAGACATAAAAAAATAAATTTGTCCATTAAGATTCATCATAAAAACTTTAAAATATACTAATATATAAAATAAAAATCTGTAAATTATCAAAGAAAAAATAAAATTTTCATTTTATCATGCAAAAGAAGCTTCATTTATAACTACGCCAAATCCTTATGGGTTTTAAAAGATTCCAAAAAACACGGGAATTTGAGATTTCTAATCCTCACCTTGGCATTCTGAATCCTGAGAGATTCCATATCCCAAAACATGCTTTTATCAAAATAACAGTAATAATAATTTTTTTTTAAACATCTCAAAATAATAACGGAAAGTGATCCTAAAATGACTTTTGACTCATAGTCGGTATCTGCAAAATAAAATTAATGGAGATCAATTTTTTTATATTATATATGTTAGCGTCAATGTGTTTTTTCCTGCAATTTGTTATTTTTTCAACTTTAAATCATTTCTTGAGCGCGTTTTTTAAAATCAAAAATCGGATTTTACCGGAAATGTATTCTAGCATGTTTGAAATACCTATCACGAAAAACAAATGTAAATTATATTAGGTTAAAAACTTCATGGCGAAATTGCCTGACATTTATAGGGCAGGTATTCCAAATATGATAGAATACATTTCCTGTAAAATCAGATTTTCAAATTTAAAAGACGCCTCCTCTCAAAAAATTTATTTTACCCGAAGTAACATTTTACTAAAAGATTTAGGGATAATTTTAAGGGCTACAAATTAATATATAATTTTTGACTAGCATAAATATTTACCTAATAATTTGAGAAATAATTGAAGCTAGATAACGTATATTTGAACATTTTTAAGGCCAATATCTATGGATCTGTTTGAGCTAGTTCTTTAAAATTTGGATTATAATAAAATTTACACCATATATAACTATAATAACAAGTTTCATCCATTTAAATAGGATCGTCGAAAATACTTTTTTAGTTTATAGTGTTAATGGTATAGGTTGCATCTTTTATTTTGCTTTTTTAAATATTGATTAAAATCTATTTTATTATAAAATAATATAAATTTTTAGAGCATAAAAATTTGATTATTCACAAAACATTTCCTGGAGTTGAACATGTTCACATCTTATATAATAATGATATATTACAATACATTCAATATGTCGTAACGGACGGTTATAGCGGTTCAAATTTATCTGAAAAAATGGCTGCCAACTTTAATTTATCTAAAGATCAGGAACATATTAGTTCCTTATACTTTCCTTTGTGCCAGGCTTGTGACACAAACCTTAACCATCGAGACTTTAAAAGCCAAATAACTATAATTAATATTTATAAGGACAATTTACGTATTTATTCAACGCCGATATATATTAAAAGGGCATTTATATACATATGCCTACTTGTTTTAATCGTTTTAATATTTATCATAATTAATAAAGGCAATAACCACTTTTTAAACCAATATTACAATTCTTACGTTATTGTTTGAAATTAAACTTAACATTTACTATAGATTTTAATTTTTTAAACATAATTTATTTATATTATTGAAACATTTCAAATATAATTTACCATGTATATTAAGATTATTTATTTTATTTTTTTATTGTGCATTGAAGATATTAATCCTATCTTATCACCTATTTTTAATTCATATATATTTTTTATCTTGATTAGATATAAAATTCTAGGTATATAGATATTTTATATATTTTAATCATAACTTTTATAGTATTGCTAGTCTTCATATTGTTTAATTAATAAAAATTATTCTTATGACATCGAAATACATTTTTGTCAAATAAATGATTAATAAGTTTAAAATTGTATATCTTTTCGACTTGTAACTAATAAATTTTTTAAATATTTTATTTTTATATGCCAAATACTTAATGTAATATAATTGTGTACTTATCAAACCATTATTTTGAACATTAATTTTTAGCTATTTGTCATCGAAATAGTATTTATTTTATTAAACTAATCAGATTTCTGTTATATATTATTCAAGCGTTTATTTTACAAATTACTATGGATCAGGTAGGCAATAATTAGTTCCATAATTACAATTCTTTTTTTACAATTAGTAACCAGAGGCGGACTGGCCATAAGACCAATTGGGTATTTTGCCCTCGAGGCGCAAGATAATGTCTTTTTTTGAGGCCGATCAAAAAAATAAATGCCAATCAAAAAATTTATAATTTTAGTTATGAATATCAAATTCATATATATTTTATTTTTATTCATATTTTTTTTAACATATAGAGAATATCATATCGATACTTCTTGAGGGTTATCATTTAAGATATTTTTATTTATTGGTTTTTTTCAAAAAAAGCATTTTCGTTTAAATGAAAGTCAAGTTTTGATTAATTTACATTTTATGCATTATTTTATAATTCATTATTAAAATAGAATTCAATTGGCCATAGCTATTAATGCTGGTTCCAGATTAAATTAGGAATTTAATATAACAAAATTAGATAAATAACACGATTTAGTTTGTAAATATTTACTACACACCTCACAAGCCATCAACTTATCTTGGTCAATCAAATAAAAGAATGAATGCTCTATCCTTTTAAATAATTAAGCCAAAACAAGACGGTGTGCTCTTATAAGAGAGCTTTCTCCCGATTGCTACAAGTGAGTTTCAGTATATAATTGTTAATAAACCGTTTGTGGCTTAATAATAAGTAATCAATGCTTAATATGTCTATGAAATTCTTTGACGCCGTAATATGCTCACGACCAGGTTGGGCACCTAACTTGAATAACGAGTTACATACTTAAAAATAGGAATAAATTAAAATCGAAAAATGTTATAAAGGATTTTATTGTTCCTCTTTAAAGGCTAAAATAAAGAGCAATAGAAATAAATTAATATCTTGTCTAATTTAGTATAATAAAAATCAAAGATGATTATTTTCAGCATTCTATAAAAGACTAAACTTTTAAATAAAACTTCATTTTTGTCTTTTGCTTTGTATATTAAATAAATTGCAAATGAAAACAAGGGAGCGGAGGGAGATAAATATGTATTGTAACGAATAAATATTGATTCTAATATTGGATATGTATGCTGCATATTATTTTCAAATTATGGAGCGTGAAGATTTATGCTTATTTCAATTTCTCTTTACAGACCCTAACTGTAGAATTTATATCTCAATATGTAATAATTTCATATATGCAATTAATAGGATTTTATTTATGGAATATATATTATGTGTGTAATAGTGCGCACAAATTGAACATTGTAACGCAGCTTTTCAAAACGCAAACAATGCATTTTAAATGCATTCGTTTAAATTGAGAACTTCCATTTTTCATTTTAAATTATTTTTTAAAAGACAAAGTTGCTTGCGCTTTTCAAAACTTTTTAAATTTTGAAGTGATAAAATTCTTGTAAATTGTAAGAATAATTATTTTTAAATGATAATAATATTTTTCTGACATGGAACGATGAAATTACCAAAAGGTTTGTAGAATGCTGGACTATCATATTGTTATGGAACATTTATCAGTTATTGGTTCCTGGTAAAAATATAAAGAATATTAAATATAATTAGCTTGGCATTGGAATTCCCTGGTTTTGATAACAGTCCTCTTTATCTCAAGAAGAGATTGAGAAACTTTAAGGATCAGCTGAATAAGGAGAAAATAGGATTCATGTTATTTATTTTATTAGTAAGTTAATAATAACTACTTGGAAAATAAAATATAGGGCTGTGCCAATCCTCAAATTCTGTTCTAAAAATACTACAAAGCCTATCCAATACCCAAAATTTATATTGATTTTATTTACCATCTATATTTGAATAAATCCCACAAAATATTTAACTATTCATAAAAAATTATAAGTGTTTTGTTTTCTTTATTCTCAAAAAGTTAATTTCCTCATTAAAAATATTTGAAATGTTAATTTTCATGTGGAACTCTCAACAACAAAAAAACCTAAAGTACTGAATAAATTTAATAGGTTATTAAATTTTGGAAGAAAAGCCATCTGGCATGCAGTAAAGCGAATTTTTATCTATAATTTATTTATATTTTATTTATACTTTTTATTGATAGCCTTGTATAGGATTAAATCTTAGGTTTAGACAACCAAGTGCTGTTTAAAACTGAGATTTTAAAATTTCTACACGATCTGAAGACAAATGGTACCTTACCAACACCTACAAATGAATCTGGATTGACATATTTAATAGCATTATATAAATTATTTATTTATTATAAAAATATAATATGTATTTTATATTAATTTTTATATTGACATTATATTCTTTTAATAAAATTTTTATATTTATATTTGTCTCTATTTTCATATTTAATATAAGTTAAATGATTTATCAATTTATTTTTTTTAACATTCAAATTATATTAGTGTCCAAATTAACATTTAAATTAAGGGATATATAAATTAAATTTTTCTTAATATTCAATTAATTTAGTTATATCATTTAATTACTATGGTTGATATTTAAAATTTATTTATAGAAGCAACAGATAAATCTTATTTAGGTATAGTTGTTTATAAAATAATTAAATTATATGTATTAAATTTTATGAAAATTTCAATTGTATCATGTTGTAAGAGAAAAGAATTAATATTATTTTAAGTTTGAGGCTCATTCCCAAGCTTTAAAATAGCTCAATGGGCTACATCTAGAAATGTATCCAAATCATATGCAATAGAAATTAAGGGATTTATCAATTATTGTCTAAAAATTAAATATGTAACATAATTTAAAATAAAATATTTTCCTAAATAAATTTAATACAATATAAATATAAAAATTTTTAAATTTGTTTCTTTGATTCCATTGTGGTAGAATTATTTTCCATGCTATACAAGAAAGGTTTTGTAGTAATTTTTTGTTTTAATGTTTTAAATTTAAATGCATCTATTGAAAAAATAAAACATAACGCATCAATTTAAACATGGCTGCGTTTACGCTTTTTTGTTTGAAACGCTGCGTTGCGACGTTCAATTTGTACTCACTATAATGAGTATTATTTTAAGTGCGCATCTTAAAATTAAGTATGTGGTTATAGTACCATAATAATTTTTATTCTTATTAAAAATATAATAGGTGCAATATAATGTTTGACCCATTGTTTTAAATCCAAATATAAGGAATAACAGAAACCAAGTAAAATAAAAATTAAGCCATTAAAAAGGAACCGCACGAACAGGTAAAAGTGGGCTGAAGACCACCAACGGGGTATGGGGCTAAACCCTTCAGACCTTTGGGAAAAATTGTTAACTATGGCCCACACCACTCCTCTCCCATGTTAGTAATTAACTGGTGGTAATCATAATTAATTAGATTTTAGTATAATTAGGTTATAATTGTATTTATAATTTTTTATAAAAAACAATAATGCAATCACTAATTCATATATTTTTTTAAATTTATAATGATTTATTTATTTTCCTGTTTATATCATTTTTAACATTTCATTTTCCTTTTTTGATCCTATATAACAATTTTTTTCTCCTTATATTTTTATTAATTTTTATTTCTCTTTGGCAATTGAATTTTTTTTATTAATATTTTTTGCATAGTAAATATTTTTGAATTAAATGAATCGTTTGGATAATGGCTAATGGTTAGAATTAATAAATTTGAACTATAATATCAAACGATATGTAAATAAATAAAATATATATTTTTTTGTTTTTGAAATCTAATATTTATACAAGCATTCAATACTTCTGAGGAAGTAAATAATTTTTTTTATTTATTCTTTGCTATGAAAATTAAACTTAAAAAATAGGTAAATGTTATAATCTATAGAATTTTAGTCTTTTTTAACATTTATTCCATTTGATGTGAATAGCTTTTAAAAAGAAATTTTTGTTTTAAAAAATAAAATAATGAAGATATAGTAAGGAAGATAACATGAATAGTGCAATAAAACCTCTAATAATTGACGTAAAAGGGGATAGTATTAAAAATATAGCATATTTTAAAGTAAACTATAAAAATGTTTTTTTAGCGATGAACAAATTTTTCTTGATACAGGCTAAATTTTTAATGAACTGTGTTTTCCAAACATCCAATAAACCTTCCTTATTATCAAAAACATCTTCGATCAAATTAACACTAGAAGAGGTGTCCGAAGCATTAATTCATTTTTATTAGACTCAGCAAGGGGATTGGATGGTATCAGGTCAGTCTATCTCCGTGATCTTATAAATATAAACAATCTCTGATCCTATAATTCTCTATTCTATAGAGCCAGACTAATCGTTTTACAAAAGCTAGATCAAGACATCCGCCCAATTGCAATAGGGGGAGTCATAAGAAGGATTATCACAAAAATTATATGCAAACTATAAAAAACACCTTTATCATAATTGCTGTCTCCTAATCAATTATGGATTGTCATTAAAGAGGGATGCGAAACAGCTAGCGACGCGGCAGTATTACTTTGGATATCCATGCTTCAGAACATGCATTCGTCAAACTTGACATAAAAAATGCCTTTAATACTTTTAATCGTAATTTTTTAATTATTTGAACTATATTCAGTCAAGTTATTGTACCCCTACCATGTTACGATATGGCAATGAAATTATTCTTTCACCACAAGGAATACAGCAAATGGATCTACTCGGCACGCCTTTATTGCTTAGCTATAAACAACATCCAAAATATAAAAACCAATTGTAATCTCGATTTCTGTAGATATTAGAGATCTGCAAATTACGGCTCTGGACGGGTCTATTTTTTTAAAAAATTCCGGGTTGGGATGAGCCTAATATTTTTTTTAAAAAATCGACCCGGGCCTGGTCGGCTTTTAATTTTTAAATATGATATAATATTTTGTCAAATACAATCGATATATTTTAAAAACTCTTGCAAGAAAGAAGGCGCTAATATTTTTTATTTGTAGAATATACTTTTTCAGTCAAAAA